ACGCATGGCCGTATGGTTTGGCCTCATTCCCACCGCCTGGAGACCCCATCCTGGCGGAGGAAGATCATGACCGCGCATAGCCATTGCCATTTCCAGAGCACGACGCCATCTACCACGGGAGTATATCAAGCGTCTCTGCGCTTCCTGAGGATACACGCTGTCAATGAGAGTCAGAGCTGCCAAAAGTAACTCTGAACTACCGCAAGCATCATTATCCTGTTCTGTCATGATGCCAGCTTCGATGTGTTCTTGACTCTCAGGATAACCAATTGTAAGTATCTCATGCATCCTCATGAGGGCCTGCAAAAGGGTACGTGGTCCATATTCGCCTGGAGCAAGCGAACCAGGAGGTATGAACGGAATATCTGGTTCGCCTGCAATGAAGGCCTGAACAAATGCCTGAGACTCCATTTCAATTAAGTCTTCAGTGGTCTGGGGATATTCTCCCATCAAAGAAGGCCTGTTTCCAGGCGGGATTTCGGGCGGAGGTTCGAGGTTCCGTTGAACCTCGGAAGGCGAAGCCTCTATAGTGGTGTCCTCGTCTTCGCTCTCGTAGGCCATGATGTTGCCTGGGTTCCCGAACATCCAGTCGAAGAAAGAAAGAGGCTCGTTTCCAAGCGTACCGTGTTCCACGGGAGTGAGTTCGTTACTGCCCGTGACGAACCGGCGGACGTACTCGAGGTAGTACGCGTACAATCCATGACCATCCCCCTCGAGCTCGTCGACGTTGTCCATGCCAACAACCCAAGTGAAAAATATATGTTCCATAGCCTCAAAGTCCTGGAGGGTCAGATATTCAATGGATGGTGCACTTGAGCCAAAATGGACTTCGGACGACATGCCCTTTCCATTTCCCTTCGCTGGACAATCTCGCACAATATAGTCGGAACTACCACATTCATGGCATTTGAGAACCTGGCCGTCTCTACCTCGCGAGTTTCCCCGCCTACCTTTACCTTTACCTGAGGTCTCTCTGCGGCCTTTACCACGGCCATTTCCCCCAAAGAATATCTCATCATGTTGTTCATCTGAGAGCCTCTGGAGAAATGCCGCGATACCTGGCCCGTTCAACCTCCGACGACCACGCTTGCCTTTACCCTTTCCTTTAAAACTTCTGCGTATCCTCCTTCTAACACGACGCACTGGTTTTCGCGTGAACCTCCTCCACCTTCGTTTAGCCTGTTGTAACAGCCAGAATAAATGCTCAGCACGCTGATTGTCGTTATCCATATTCATGATATCTGGCCAATCTAGAGCTTCAACAACATCTGATGATATAGTGTCTGTATCGGTGCCGGAGTCGAAATCTTCGTCTCCTAAATAGGTGGATACACCGTCGGTTAGGGGATTTGATTCCCCCCATAACGAGCGGTGTGGTTGTGGTTCTCTAGAAGGAGGGCTGGTTGCCCAGCTTGGTTGTGATCGATCCCCTGCTAATAACGCAGTGGATTCACCTGGGTCATCGGCCCATATGCTTGAGGGCCCGTTTCCAGGCTGGGCTTCAGTAGTCAAGGTAGTGTAAAAATTTCCACTACCAGATCCCCTTCCTCTTCCAAACACAGATCCTACGTTGCCAGGAGACCGTTCGGATAGGTGGCCTATCAAACGCATCCTCTCCAGCAACTCATCATACTGTTGTTGTGTTCGAGGCATTTGGTGGTTGAGTGGCTGTAAGAGTTGCATGGCTTTCTGGTTGCCGACGCCTAAGGCGCGGAATAGGATAGTGGTTAGCAGTTGGAAGTTGGGAAGGTCGAGTCCCACCGACTGTGCCTCAAGTCGGGCCATTCCGAATCGGGTAAGAGTGACATCGATTCGTTCCCCGTGAGGCACATGGAAGTCGATGAGTTGTGTGCCGGAAGTGAGCTGTCGCTCATCTTCCAGGCGTTCGAACTTCATGCTGAGGAGGAACATGATGTAAGTTACTGGGTCTGTGTGGACCCCATCAATGTCAGCACCATAGTTTATAATGTCAGGCGGTACCCTCATGGCGAGTGTCCTCGCTAGGCCACCTAGGCCGCGTTGTATTGCGGCCGCTTGGGCCTGTGGCGTCATACGTCCGCTTGTAACGTTGAGCCATGCGTTGACCTCGTAGATGTACTCACGAAAAGGTACATTACCTTGAGGGTCCCAATATGGGCCATGTGTTTGCCCATCGGTGCTGTTATCTCCACGACGCATGTGTCCGATTGCTGCCCCCAGCGCGAACCATATGATAGCGAAAACGATTAGCCCGAGAATGTGTAACGAAGGACGGTTATGATGCGCGTTGTCGCGCTGGGGTAGCGCCTTGTCGAGTCTTCGAGGCGCTCTGTCTGGCGGGTCTCCCCGCCCTTGCTTCAAGTATTGCGCTGTTAGCTCGTTGCCGAGCGGTTGGTAGTAACGCAATGATGAAGCGTATATGGTACCAGTTTGGTCGTCTAGACGTCGTACCTCTCGTGTTGCTTCTTGCTCTTGAATAGATCCTCGTAAACGTACTGGGAGTGGTGGCGCAGGGTGGTAGGTGGTCACGAAGACCGTGCCGAAGAATATGAGGCTAAGAAGAACAAGAGCTGACCACACGAGAGTGCGGCCAGCTCCGCTACCAAGTCGAAAGTGAGCCTGGTAACTCAAATGGGGCATATAGCCTGGCAAATTGCATCCATCGCTGTGCTTTGAAGGTACAGTATGAGGGGTGGATGGGTAAGATAGGATAAGATCGATGTAGTGATCTTTCCAGCACATAGCGAACACTCGCGGTGTCCGGGCAAATAGGGCGCGCGTGCCTTGAGCCCAAGGCAGCGGCGCGCGAGCTATGCTCCCGATACTGTAACATCTCCCAAAGAGCTACCCTTAAAGTACTAGTACTACTACTACTACTACTATTACTACTACTACTACTACTACTACTACTACTACTACTACTACTACTACTACTACTACTACTACTACTACTACCTACTACTACTACCTACTACTACTACCTACTACTACTACTACTACTACTACTACTACTACTACTACTACTACTACTACTACTACTACTACTACTACTACTACTACTACTACTACTACTACTACTACTTCCAAGAGGCCCCCAAGAGGCCCCCAAGAGGCCCCCAGAGGCTCCCAAGAGGCCCCCAAGAGGCCCCAAGAGGCCCCAAGAGGCCCCCAAGAGGCCCCCAAGAGGAGGCCCCCAAGAGGCCCCAAGAGGCTCCAAGAGGCCCCCAAGAGGCCCCACGAGGAGCCCGAGGACGACTCACACCAGGACGAGGGGCCCGAACGACTCACACCACGAAGAGCCCGAACGACTCACACCACAAGGAGGGGCCCGAGCGACTCACACCAGGACGAGGCGCCCGAACGACTCACACCACGAGGAGCCCGAACGACTCACACACGAGAAGCGCTTTCTCTCCCTCCTCCTCCGCCTCGTCCTTCTCCCGCTCCCCCCACAAGGAGGATGTACAAGGAGGCGGAAGGAAGGAGGAACAGGGGAGATATGCGGGGCCAAGCGGACACACGCCTGAAAAACACGACTGTCGGCATGCTTTGCAAGAGTTGCTGCTGTGAGATGGGCTGGTGGGGATACGCGAAGCGTAAAGAATTCCTTCTTCTTTCCTCATGTGTCCTCTTCCTCTCTTTCTTCCTCGTTCTCGCTTTCATTGCCCCACGAACCCTACCCAGTACTCCTCAGATTTGGTTGTGGAGGCTCCTAGGCGAGCTTCGGGAAGACCTCGCGATAGATTTTTAGGGGCTCCTTGGGTACCTCTGGAGACGTCCCTAGCGCCTTTTGACGACCTCTGGTGGGTTCCTCGTGCCACCATGCTGCGAACCGTGTTCTCGGGTCACAGTTCGAATGTTTCCAGAGGGCGCCTTGGGGTAATTGTGGCCCGTCATGGGGCCCTCTGCGGGCAGTTGTTGAACCCTCTTGGGCTTTGTTGGGGCTCTCTTGGACTGTCATTTGTTTGGTCGTTTTGGAGCAGTTGTCGGTGCCTCTCGGGCGTTCTAGGACGCCCAGAAGACCGAATAATCGCGTAGCCCAGAATTGGACGAAACCCCATGGCAGATCAACCATTTCTCCGGTTCTAAAGCCTCTTGGGGGTGATATTTCGGAAATATTCGGGCGTCCGCCCGGAGTCTGGGGCCACTGGAGGCCATCTTGAACCGCCTTTGGGGTCTCTTCGGACCGCCGCCGACCTGTTTGCAATGCTTGGCAGGGACTTCCGGAGGCCCAGAATTTTTGCGGGACGCTCCGAGGAGACGTCCAGGACTCCTGGACTCCAGGGATCCCGTTTCAGTGGGGGGGTCCGCAGGGTCTCAGAGTATCAAAATAGAAAGGAAGGAGCATTGCCCCACATATATGGCAGCACACAGATTGCACCACACCTGTTGTATAGTATTGATTGCACATCACGTACTCCACAACATATGATGCATAACATCGGCTGCACAACATAGATTGCACCACACTGATCGCTCCACATCTATTGCATCACCTTGATTGCTCCACATTGATAGCCCCACATATACTGCTAGAAACAGACTGTTTGGGGCCCACGCAGGCTAACATGTAACTTGTTAGTATTCGAATTCGTCGCGACTTCTTGCTGAGGCCCCATGGCCCAAACGCCGCGCACATCCAGAAACAATAACGACCGGAGTGTTCCTCTCGATCCGACGGAGGTATGATAGGCCACACGCTGCAGGTACCCCCAGCCCCAGCCAAGAGCAGCTTGCCGATCGTTACATGCTCTGCGGCAGCAGCGGCCAGCGTGATTGCGTTTGCCTCCGCCCCCCGCCCCCCGAAAGCCGCACCACAGGCCAAGCCAGCGAAGGGCCTGTAAGATTTCGGGTCATCTCTCGGGTCTCTGGCGCACATTCGGGACGATCCAGGCACCCCCGGAACGCCCTCGGCGAGGCGCAGCTCCTGGAACGCATCCCGAAGCAGGAGAACCTCCAGAGACCGATGAGAACGGCCGAGAAGGGACACCCGTTTGGCGTGCCGATCTGAGTCTGAGGGCCTCCTCCCCAGCGTCGAATGAGCACTGGTACGACGCTGGCGTGCCGAAGACGTAGGGCAGCTCCAAGCCGTGGTAGACCCCCGGCACGGTCCCCGGCTTGGGGCAGCCACCCCTGTGGTCGAAGCGGTAGAAGAAAGCCTCGCCCCCACCGCAGTACCGCTCCTCCCTCCCTGCTCTCCTTGAGCTAAGTCTGCGGGTGGCGCGCTGACAGCCCCCCCAGAAATCCCAGGCGGTCTCCAAATGCCCCGCGAGTAGACCGGGGCGGTCTCAACGCCTTGGGGCCCCGACCAGCGGCGCCCCTGGGGCACTCCGCGCACAAAGCTGAAGTGTTGAAACCGACCCAGCCTATTGGACGTGGCCACGATTTGCACCAGCGCCGTCTGGTAATGGCGAGGGGTATAGCTAATTCTCAGACGGCGCCGGCGCGAATCGTGATGGTACGGCCCCACCTTCTCGCCCCAATCACGGCCGTTACCGCGAGATGATGGACAACGGAATCTTGAGGCCAGCCTGGGCTAGCTGAAAGCCGAAAGGCTTGCCAATTCCCCGTCCTCGCATCCCTCCACGGAGACAACACAATCGAGTACTGGCCGAACCGACAACGGATCGCCCGACGGACCGCAAGCAGCCCAGCAGGGCGCAGAAGCACCGCACTCCCTTCGCAACCGACCGAACCGAACCGACCGAACGGCACCGACTGCTGGTGAGCAAATGATGTATCAATGTTCCAGCAGCTTGTAATGTTGAACAAGTATGACGATTTTGTTGTACAGAACGGGAACAGGTGGTTTCTGTTCATGAAGCAAGCGAACCTCACGCGCAGTTTGAAACACACCGCGCGTGACACTGATAGTTTTCATCCCCTCGAGACTGCGAGGCAGCCGAATCGAGCTCGGACAACCATTCAGATCAGCGCTTTCTCGGGGGCCTGGAGTTGCAAGTGCGGTGCCGCTTTCCACAACCCGCGCGACCAGGAACCCTGAGATCCGACGTCGTGAGAACAACGCAGCCTCGTGGAACGTCAAGAGCGGAGCTCTCGGCCCAACTTTTCTGCTGTAGTCCCCAAGCCAGATCGACACGAGAGGGCCCTGGAGCCCGAAACTGGGCGAAAGCACCAGATGTGAAAAAAAAAAGCATGATGCGACGCTCGACCCTCGGGGAAGGTACCACCTCCCCAGCGGGCCCAGCTCCCAGTAGCCATTGTTCTCCAGCTGCGGTGCCCCGTTGCGAATTCCAAAACATGTTCAATTCTCGCGCCGCGCACTTCGCGGCGGTGCGAACGCCAGCAAAACCAGCTGCGTGTGAGCTGATTGGCTAGTCAACCCTTTACCAAACTCCTGTTTCGACCGACCCGACATGCGTCGTACCATGTTTGGGTTCGCTTCGGGCCCAGCTTCAACGCGCTGCGGTGCAGATGTTTTTGATTCTGAGGGCTTGAGAGACATGCAGCCGATGTACCACTCCACGACGCCCAAAGGGACGCTGACGCGGTAAGGTGCGCACACGTCGTCCGCGAATCCGACCTTGCCTCCACGTGCAGCTCCAGCGCCTCATCCCCAGACATCTGACACCCACCGGGCGAAGGGTCACTCCCACGTCCTGCATCCAAGTCGTAGCCCGAGTCTCCGGAGGCCGTTCGGGACGATTCGGGCGCCCCCGCAGCGCCCCTGGCGAGGCGGCGCGCATCCCGAGGCAGGAGTGCATCCAGGAACCCACGAACATCTCCGAAAACGCCAGAAAGACTGGCTCCCCCCTCCATGCCTCCCCCCCCGCGCCCCCCGCAAGCCGCGCACCAGCGGTGACTCCAGCGACAAATCACTCGCAAGCACACGCAACTCGCTGACGTAGGGCCCCAGCGCCCTCGACCCCTTCGGAGCACCGGATGGCCCCCCACCGGTGGCTTCTGCAGACGGCCCTGGGGGCCCCGCTGCTGGCCCCGAGAAGCCCCAGAAAGTGGCAAACAGCGGCGCCGCTGCGACTCTCCGAGTGTCGCAAGGATCGGGTCGGGCGAAAGGGGGGGATAGCAAAGGGGGAGCTTGAGAATCAGCTCACGTGGCTGATTTTCCCGGCGCCTCCCGGCGCCGGAGGCGGCTATGTATAGAGGAATGGGCCCCTCGGTGAGGCCGAAACCAGCTGCATGCAGCAAATTTCGTAACCACCCCCTTTCCCAATACTCCCCTTTCGTCTGGCCCGAAAGGATCCCAGGGCCACGCTGCTGGCCCTTCACCTCCACCGGCCGCTCGCCCCACGCGCCGAGACCTCCGGACCCCTGCGGGCAGCCTCTGCCACCCACCCCCGCGCGACGCGCCGAGCGCGCTGCGCGCAGCTGCCCCCGCGACCCCGCGCTGCCCCCCGGGCCGGAGACGAAGGAGCCTGCAGCCCACGCCGCGGAGCGCGCGAAGAACGCGGCTGTCGGGGCGCGAGGGCGGTAACGCTCAGCATCGAATCGGGGTGCGTCGGGCCGGCCGCGCCAGGAAGCACAGCAGCGCCAGCGCGTGCATCGGGTCGCCTCGGACTGTCGGCTGTCCGCATCGAGCCTGATGGGGCCGATACCGCCATCGACATCGAATCGAAACGGGCCCTGCGAGGGGGGGTCGGGTCGCGCCTTGCCCGGCGCCGCGCTCGACAGGGCGCACTGCGTGCCGCACAGGATGCCGTAGTCGGTGAACACCCGCGCCGCCAGGATCCGCTGGTCTCCCTCTGGCGCGGCGGGGTACCTCGGAGAGCAAACGCGGCGTCGATGCCCCGTCGGGTGCCTCCATCAACTCCCTCATACTTGTTTCCATTACCCGCGTAATGCAATTTCAAGATGACAAAAACACGAATGGGTACCACGCACTATTTGAAAGACAACGTGTGCGAAACTGATACCCGCCATCCCTCCCGAGCACCGGCGGAACACCTCCGCAAGCTGCGCGGGGTTCAGCGCCGTGCCCGGGTCGAACTCCGTCAGCACGTGCCTCAGAAAGGCGTAGTATTGCAGGGAGCAGAGAGCGCGCACCACCCCCGCTGCTCTGCACTCAGGGGAGGAAAACAAACCGATCCTGCCCGTCCCTCGTCGCCACGGATGGGTTCGCCTCAAAGTCCTGGTCTTAACGCGCTCTGGGAGAGGTCTGGGGAGCAGCGGTGTCGGTATCTTGTAGGACGGGGTAGTGGTGTGAGGGTGTGTGAGAGGGGAAACAGGAGCAAAGGTAGCTCTATTATGTGGCAGCTCGCGGGGGCCTCCCATGCGATCGGTCTGGCTCTTGCGAATCGTCGCCAATCGACACTGATAGACGACGCTAATCGACGCGAGTCCACGCGAATGCACTCGATGCAAGGAATCCATGAGTTGCCACCGAGGGGGGGTGGGGGGCGAACCTGTTCTGCTCCCCAACATTGGCTCGAATTCATGCCACTGGGGTATTCTGGCCACACGAACACGTTTCCCTCATCCGTGTTGAATCCAGCAAGCACGGGCACCCTGAGCCGGTGCGCCATCAGCCGCCTCGGGTAGTCGGTGAGGTCGACGCCGTCCACGGTGGCACCCCAGCCGGTCGAATTCGACGCGAAAGGCGAACCCCCTGCCGCCTGGGCCCGTATCAGCTCGTCCATGCTCTTCCTGGAGACGAAGAACACGGAGATCATCACCAAGGCTGAACGCGGGAATGTCGTGTCGATCTAAGTCACGGTCCATCTTGGTCAGCGTCACGTCGTGGTCATACTCGCGAATCGGCGACGGCCAGCATGGACAATGACTCTGACCAAAATTCGGGTCGGGCGAAAGGGGTGGATAACAAAGGGGGGGTTTGAGAATCAGCTCACGTAGCTGATTTTCCAAGTGCTTCCCGGCGCCGGAAGGCGCCCACATATCGAGGAATGGGCCCGGCGGCGGGGCCGAAACCAGCTGCATGCAGCAGATTTCGCACCCCCCCCCTTTCCCAATCCCCCCCTTTCGCCCGGCCCGAAAAATCGGCGTCGACAAAATCCCGTGACAGATTGGTCATGGTCACCGTGTTACTCCCCTCGGCTTCCCCAAGAGACACGCGCGTATGGGCTCTCCGCGCTCACAGCCAGCGGCCCTGGCGAAGGCCCGCGTGTTGCCGAGGCTGAACTCCCGGCCGGCTGCGGTGGGCAGGCCCGACTCGCTGATGGCCGCCCGGAACAACCCAGCGCTCCGCGGGGACACGAGGTGGTGGAAAACGGACATGCCCCCGGCCGACTCGCCGAAGATCGTCACCCTGGCGGGGTCGCCGCCGATGGCGAACGCCTGGTCGCGCAGCCACCGCAGCGCCTCGCGCTGGTCCTCCAGCCCGAAGTTGGCGTCGACGCCCCCGCCCGCCCTCTCCAGCGCGGCAAAGCCGAGCACGCCCAACCGGTAGTTCATGCCCGCGACGATCACGCCGTGACTGGCGGCCAGGCCGCAGCCGTCGTAGGTGTTGCCTTCGCTCGCGTCCCCCGCGTCGCCGTCGACAAACCCACCACCGTGGATCCAGACCTGAGCGGGGACGACCGACGAGGGGTGACTGGATCAGGGGTGGGACAGTGGGACTTGCAATCGGCGGTTCATCGCCGAGACGATCGGCGACAGGCCCTCGATAGCGAAACAGCACGTTCTTGGGCAGGGAGCGAGCTGTGAGGCCGCCATGGGCGATGAAGTGGTGCTTGGGGGTGGACGCGCTCTCCCCTGAGCCTACTCATCCCTCCGATCGTTGCCCCTTCGAACCATCATCGTCAAGTTGTCACCGGCCGTGGCGTTCCCGGGGCGCCAGAAATTCAGGAACAGGCAATCCTCGCTGCCGGAGGCACCCGATCCGCCCGACTGGGGGCACCACGCCCCGTACTGATGGGCGGCGAGGCCGCCGCGGTCGTAGGGGGCGCTCCTCGTCGTCGCCGCTCATAAATCGTCAGTGAACGCCGCCGTCATCGCCGTCGCCGTCCACAGCCGTAGGTCCCCGTCCGCCGCCGTACGTCGCCGTTCGACTGACGTCCGCCGTCGTCCGTCGCAGCGCCGCCGCCGGCGTCCGCTGGCGGCGGCGGCGCTGCCGCCGTCAGCGCCGCTCGTCAATCACCCGCCGTCAGCCATCGTCGTCCGTCGCCGTCGCCGTCGACGCACCCCGCCGCCAGCCGCCGCAGCGGGTGCCGTTCGCTGTCGTCAAGGGCTCCAGGCCCGCGGCAGCTCGAAGCGGCTGGGCGGCTCCGCGTACGGGACCCCCAGAAACTCCTGGCAGGAGACGCCGCCCGCCGCGGCCACCTCGCGGCCGTGGATGCTCCCGAACCTCGTCTGACGGTGGCTGCCAGAGGTGCCCCTGGCCCACCAGGATCAGTCAGCATCGACTCGGGAGGTCGTATCGGATCGGAACGTGCGTCGAATCGGGCCGCAGCGGCACGGAATCGAGGTCGGATCGGCCGAGCAAGGACGCGCGACAGCGCCTCGCTAACATCGGGCCGTCGGAACATCGGGATCGAATCGGATCGGGCAGACTGAAATCGATGCCCAATCGGATCGATGGTGTCGACATGGGCCCTGTACACGGTGCCACTGGCTTTTCTCTCCGCTTCGGAGACCCTGGGCCCTCCTGGGCCTCGTGAGGGGGTACCCTGGTAGCAGCGAGGGCCTCCGTGCGAATCATTGGGGCACCTCTGCAAGATCAAGCATCAGCACAAGAGAAAACTTCCGGAGGTTCGAGCGGATTTCTCAGGGCGGCAATGGACCCTCTCCCCTGGCTCGCGGAGCGCGCCTGGAGAGAAAGGCCAGACGCATCACCAGGTGGAAGGTCCATTGCCGAGCCAAGACATCCGCGCGGATCTCCAAAAGGTCATACTTGTGCTGATTGTGGGTCCATCCCCCATGAATATTGAAGGGCAAACTGAGGGGACTGGCTCAGGGGGAATAAGAGTGACCTGGGAGCGGAGGCCCCAAGAGGCCCCCCAAGAGGCCCCCCAATTGGCTCCCAGGAGGCCCCTAAACTGTTCCCCAGAGGCCCCCGAAAGCGCTTCGAAGCGACCCGGAAGCGGCGAAACGTCGCCGACGTGCCATCCTGGGTGGGGTCGATGCGTCCCCCTCCCTGGGCAGCACATCCACCCGCATGAGAATCACCCCGACAGGCGAAGCCCCTCAGTAGGCGCACCCAAGGAAGGAATCGAACAGGGCAGGGCTGGTTAGGAAACGCCCAGGGCCGTTCAGCAAACGTAAATTGTCAAGTCCAGGTGGCTTCTCCTCCTTTGATTGAGCGATCCTGGGAAGGCTTGGCCAGAGGAAAAACACGAGGGACCAGCCACCGAGAAACAGGTGGGGGCGGGGGCGGCAACCCCTGAGGGCGATGGCACTCCCGAGCGTCACCCACGGCAGGACGACGCTCGGGCGTGGCAGCGCCCAGGAGTCGCCGGTGGCGGCGGTGCCACGCCTCCCCTCTGGAGGGAGACACGAGCGTGGCCATGACAGTGCCCACGACGGAACGCGGAAGCGCCGGTGCCGATCTTGGCCATCGCCCATCTTGGCCACCGTCAGCCCGTGCATCTGACTACCTACCAGACCACCCCAACCCAACCCGAAGACCCGAATTTCGGGTTGGGGGGGGTAAGGGTTCCAAATGTGTTTTTTCGATGTTTCCCGATCCCCCCCCAGTGGAAATCGAGGGTAAATCTGAGCCTTCGGGTTGGGTTGGGGTGGTTTGGTGGGTGGTGAGCATCATACTCGCGAATCACCGACGGCCGGCATGGACCGTGGGAGGGAGGAGCGCGCCGAGTCCGCCGGCCGGTCGGCCCGCAGGCCCCTCGAGGGCAGCGCGGGAGGGCCAGGGCCCGCTGACTGCGCTTGCTGGACGAAGGCGCGCGCCCCGTGCGGAGTCGGAGTCGGAGCCGGAGAGGTGGGAGGGGGCCATGGCTACCTACCAGACCACCCCAACCCAACCCGAAGACCCGAATTTCGGGTTGGGGGGGGTACGGGCTTCATATGTGTTTTTCCAATGTTCCCCGACCCCCCCCCCCCCCTCTGGAAATGGAGGGCAAATCGGGGCCTTCGGGTTGGGTTGGGGTGGCTTGGTGGACGGTCAGACCAGGAGTCGGAGACAAATAGGAGCCCGAGCCGGGACCTGCAGAGCAGCGTCAACCATTCCGCCAACATAAAGAATCAGGATCGTGAGCCGGAGTCGAACACACGGGAGCTGGAATCGGAGCCCGGGTCGGGGCGGCGGGATGGAAGCTGGAGTCGGAGAGTCGGGAGCTGGACAAAGATCGGCATCGACAAGGTCCCGCGACATCTTGGTCATGGTCATCGTGCTTCCTCTCCCGATCCTCTGAACGTGGAGATTGTTTCTTGAACGTCCGTTACTGGGGAGTGGGGGGTTCGGGCCTGCGAATGCAACATGCTTATGAGCATCAACGCAAGCCTGTCAACACCGCAGCATGCCTGTGAACCTGTGGGCACCGCGCCATGCCTGTGGGGAAACGGGGTCCCCCCTCCGCGTACATGCGGTATCGTTACGAAAAGAGGGGGGAGGGGGGGCGACACCCCGTAACGGACGATACCGGATCAACGAAACAACCTCTTTGGGGAAACCAGAAGATCCCGATACCGCTACTCCCCGGACCTCTCCAAGGGTGCGTTCTGCCCAGGATTTCGAGGCGAATCCAGCAGCGGCGACGAGGGACAGATAGCCGTATGGGTACCTGGAATCTTTTCCTCCTCGGGGCAACGGACGTCCCTGGACCAACAAGTAGAGAAAGACAACCGCTTGGGCCAGAGACGCCCTTGGCAGCACGCCGAGGTCTGCACCAGCGCCGCCGCCGGCGCCCGCAGCGGCAGGACGGCGAGTGCCGCCAGCGGCCGCGGGGCCATGCCGGCAGCCCGCCGCGCGGTGCGCGCGCCGCCGCCACGGGAAAAACGCCGCCCGCCCGCGGGCGGGGGCGGCGGGGGTCGCGGGGCGCAGGACTCGATTCTTGCTAGAAGTGAAGCGCCCCTGACCCAGGGTGCCCCCAGGAGTTCTAAGGAGGCCCCCGCGGCCTCCAGAGCACCCCTCGCGAGGCCCAGGAAGACCCACCAGGGCTCCAAAGCTGGGCAAAAAAAGCGGGGGGTTGGGCCAGGGGCACCTGTAGCAACCCCCGATGGGGCGGGCTGCGGAACCCCCTGGGGGGCGGAAGCGTCTGAAGGGCGGGGCGGAAGCGTCTGCTGGGTACGACTTCTCGAAGGATTGCAAAAAAACCCAGGTTTTTTTGCAATCCTTCGGGTTTTTTTTGCAATCCTGGGTTTTTTGCAATCCTTCGGTTTTTTTGCAATCCTTCGTTCAAGGAATGGGGGGTCGGTCGGCGGGTCGACGACTGGGAGCTGCGCAGTCGGACCAGCAACTGAGCGGAACTGGTTCTTCGCGCATAGCTCTGGCAACGAACCGATCTCGGCGCTCTCACCCATGCGGGCTTGCATGGACACTTGTGGGTCGGAAAGGGCTACCTCACAGTTCTGCAGCTGCTCCAAACCTCGATCTGGAACCAGAGGAAATTCGACCCGCAACAGCAGAGCTCTTCTGGGGGCGTGGGGGCACCAAATTCAGCCCACAGCCCAAAACTGACGACCGGGCGCCGACGATCAAACCCGCGACAGAAAACTGCAAGATATCCCGAATCCTTACTCTTGGGAAGGGGGAAGGGAACGAACGAGATGGATCTGTACGTACACTTGTCCGCCACCGAGACGGGGGCGGGGCGGATCAGGGGCGCTCGACCAAAGCCCAGCTCGCTCACCGATTGTTTGGCGGGAGATACGGCGACACCAATCCCCGACCTCGAGTGGACATACAAGTTGGGGCCCACATCGGGGATGTACGCGGAGGGGCGCCCATCCTCGATAGGGGGTGCGCTCGAATAGCCCCAATCGGGGTGCATCCCCGATTCCCACCAGACCTCTGGGCGGAGGTGGTCTAGAGCGCTTCCTCTTCCAGTCCCCTTCTTCCCCTGCAGGGAGAGCTGTCCCCCTCCCCCTGCAGGTCTGGACGAGGGCGGCAACCAGTTATCATCCAAGATGGCCCAAAGATGGCCTCAGAGTGCCCAAGATGTAGCTCAAGATGGTTCCCAAGCAGTCCCCTAAGGCTCCAAAAGACGGCTTCTAGAGGCCGTCTCCAGCGCTCTAGAGGCAGAACGGGCGAAGAGCCCGACACTCTTCCCAAATCTTGAAAACATCGGTGATTTTGGCCGGTCGGGGGCCTCCGCGACTGACCGGACCTCTCCCGTGGTGCGGTCTGACCAGGAACTCGAAGCGAATCCAGCCGTGGCGACAAGGCAAGGTTGGCGGTGTGGGTACCTGTTCCTCCCACGAGAACGTGTGCTCCTCGTCGCCGTCATCGGCGTCGTCGAGGATCGAGGGTCGAGGTTTTGGAGCGCTCTCAGCCCGCTGTGGCACCCCAGTGGCCTCCGAGCGCCTCCGACGGCCTCCTTGGGGACTCCATGGGACCATACCTCGTCGGAGCTGTTATCCTTGCCCCGCTGGGGAAACCGTCAAACCGACGATCTCTCGAGAGCGGTCCCGGGTGACGTCCACTGACCACAGGAGGAGGAGGAGGAGGAGGAGGAGGAGGAGGAGGAGGAGGAGGAGGAGGAGGGGGAGGGGGAGGAGGGGGAGGAGGGGAGGAGGAGGAGGAGGAGGTGGAGGAGGAGGAGGAGGAGGAGGAGGAGGGAGGAGGAGGAGGAGGAGGAGGAGGAGGAGGAGGAGGAGGAGGAGGAGGATCGGTTCCACCTCCCTGGGCCCGGGACGGGCTCGGCCTGGATCGGTGGGGTGGTCAGTCGACGTCCCCCCGCGTGTCGAAGCCGATTTGCCCTCAAAAGGATGGAACAAGACTCTCCTTCTCCTCCTCCTCCTCCTCCTCCTCCTCCTCCTCCCTCCTCCTCCTCCTCCTCCGTGTGTGTTGGCCTGGGCCGCTGGATAGCTGGCCGACCCCCCCCCCACTGGGAATGGAGGGCAAATTGGGACCTGCGGCGTTGGGTTGGGGTGGTTTGGTGGGTGGTGAAGGCAAGAGACCCCGCTCGTCGAGAACCCCCTGGCCAGATGGCGGTCGCAAGACGACTGCGATGGGTCGCAAGAGGGCGCTCTAGTACTCGCACTCTGTGGTCTTCTGCTGGTTGCGCGCAAGGAGTCTTCTGGCATAATTAGCGTTGCGCAGGCGGCATGGTCATAAAGCGCAAGCCACGACGCTTACGCGATAATATTCCAGAGCCCGCGATGACTACGCTCGCTCATGGAAGGCCGACGCACCATAGTATCTGGATGATGCCGAGGCGACGGAGACGACGACGCGGGCCTTGCCGATCCGCGCCAGCGCCTCCAGCACGTGGCCCTCGTCGTCGAACCGCGCCGCGCGCACCGCCGACTGCGACCCGAAGAGCGGCGCGACGCGCGCGACTCCTGGCCACCGCCCCCCCCCCCGCCCTCTCTGCGCGCGGCTCTTGGATGGGCCTGGCGGGCGAAGTGGCGATGTTAGGAACATGGAAGACCGACACCGACACCATTGAGGACCACCAGCGGGAGGGGCCAGGGAGGGGTCCCCTGGTGGTGTGGTCCCCCCTCTCGCTCGGGACATCCCCCATCCCCGGCTCGGAGAGGCATCGCGGACCCTCTCGCTGGAGGCGGCCCCCTGGTGGTGTTGGTGTCGCTTCTCCTTCCCCCCAACTGCTCGGTTGCGACTCATGGGAGCCTCCCATACCATCTTGTCGGCTCTTGCGAGTCGACGCTAAATCGACCCTAAATCGACGCTAATCGACTCTAAATCGACGCTAACTGGCGCTGACCGACGCTGAATCGGCGCTGTCCCTCCCCCGACGCTGATCGACGCACGTCGACGCCAAAGGCAAAGTTACAAAAGGTTCTCGAGGATCCCACGATTTGCTGCCGAGCAACTGTGTGATGAGCCAGTGGGGATTCTGAGAGATGGCACGGCTTTGGGGGAGCCCAAACGCTCTCCAAGGATGCCTCGGGCCACCGGGGCCTCCGAGACCCCACAACGGCTCGGCCGCGGAGCGTGCGGTGCGGTCCCTGGCTCTGTCGAGGTCACCGCTCGGGGATCTTCTGACCCGGGTCAATCCAGACCCGGGTCAGCAGGAAACCAAAAAACTGCAATGCAGGAGCAACGAACTGCATCGCAAGTCTCCGCAAACCCAGGTCAGCCAATATGCGCGGCCGCCTCGCGGCCACGAGCGGCTCGCTCACCCGGGTCGGCCAGAAGGGGTCTTCGCAGGATCCTGCAGGATCCGGTGTCCTGGCTGACCCCCGTTGGCATTGACCCCCGTCTCGAGGCTCCCGAACCGCACGGTCTGTCACGGCTCCGGTTTGGCACCCCCCTTTTGGACCCCCCCTCGGACCTACTCCGGACTTTTTGGGGGCATCCGCTGGCCCTCGGTGGCTGTCCAGCCCCTCGGTGGCTGTCCAGCGGCTGCGCCTCGCCCGAAGCGTGCCGGAGGTGCCCCGGTCGTCCCGAGCGGCCGCCCGAGCGCCGAGCGCCCGGGCGCACGATCGGCGGAGCTCGTCCGTTCGACCGCGCCAACTGTCCGTGTCGAATCCGCGTCAGCTCCGCCTCGAGTGAACGTCGACTCCGCACCAGGCCCGCGCCGCATCTGGCACAGGAGAAGGCCGCAGTTGGCGGGACAGACGAGCCCCCCCGAAGGTGCAACGTAAGGTCTCCACTTACAAATCACCACGGGAAGTGTCCGCAAATGCTCGCCCCCTGGAGGCCTCCGCCAGGCCGGTGACCGTCAACAAAGACGACTCGTATGCAAAGACGGTCCCCAGGAAATGGTCGCGGTGCGCAAAAGGGGCCCGCATGCGAAAGAAACAGGCCATCGGATCTCTGGGCAGGTGGCAGTGGCATGCGGCCCAAATGCGACCATGCACTGAGGACAAAACGATGGGGGGAACTGGCTTGGAATCGACCATCCGTCGTCGATAGATCGGAGCTAGGCCCCTCGATAACAAATCAGCACATGCCCCGATCGGCGATGAATGGGCGATTGGGGGTCGATGCTTCCTCCTTTGCACCAGCCCCCCCCCCCCCCACAGACCTCCGACGTCGTGATATCTTCAAAACGTGGAGCCCCCTCCCCCAGGATAGGTGTCTCGTCCCGAATAGGTGTTTGTGTTCGAAGTCTCGAGTCAGAGCCAGATCCGCCTGGTGCACGCCTGTCTGGTCGCAAGGCGAGGCGAAACGAGTCATCGCCCTGGAGCGAAACCACAGACAAGAGCGACGAGGCGGCGTGTGTCTCATACCGAACCACCTTTGGACGGTCATGGGGTCCAGTGAGGGCGCCCCGAGGCCGAAATTGGCTAACAAAAACTCGCGTCGTGCTTTTCAACGGCACCGATGAGGTCTGGGGTCCCCCTCTGTCGCTGGCTCTGGGGATCGCCCCGCATCGCCGACACATCGGCGCACGGGGGTGCAAAGAATCGGGCTCCAGATCAACGCGAGGTCTGGCGATGCACTGGCGATGCGGCGCAGTCCTCTGGCACCCTCGCTTCCAATGCCGATTGAGAGACCCGGATGTTGTGCATGGGGTTGAAGTACAAGGGTACAGAACCCCTGATCCGTTGGTAGAGGGAAGGAGGGATAGATGGATGTCTTTCCCTCCTGCACGATCAAAAGTCTGATCGATCTGTCCCAATACCTGAGCCCAAACGGCCAGGCGCAAGAGAAGTGAGGATAAAGAGTATATATGAGGGCATTACACGGGTTCTATTCACACCCCCGGTCCCGACTCCCGCCCGTGAGGGTAGGGCTCGGGAACAGAGGAAAAGAACCCGTCACCCTTTTACTCCTTCAATCCTCAAGTCCCTCAGGCAGCTGAGCGCAAAATCTGCATAGCTTCAGCTGCAAAGTAAGGTAAGAAGGAACACCCAGGGTCCCGATTTCTTCGCCAAGCACGCTTAAGTGCCCCCTCGGTGCGCCCCCCACAACGCTTCGGCACTCGAGATCGGAGAAGAATGAGACACGGGTGGGCGGAGAAAGAGGATCTGAGCCAGTTAAAGCAACATCAAAAGCTGCCGCGCCTAAGCGGGGCAGGTGTTGCCACCAGCTCTCTGTCGAGAGCTGGGCATCATATCATTCTCATAGCAATGTAAGCAAAGTCTAAAGAGTAAGCGATAACAAAAAATGTATTCTAAGGTCGTGTTGATGAACACGATCGCGTTAAGAAACACGTCTAAATATCAAAGCAAACGTCTGGCCAGACGCAAAGTCGTGTTGATAGACACGAAAAGTTGCATATATAAATAAATTCTGTATTTGTCGACATCCGTTGGCGCTGCTCCTTAGGAGGTAGCCTTCGGTATCGCAAGGATATGTGCGTGGCCACTTGTCTTGGATAGTGGAGTGGCCTAAAATGATATCATAGCCACCGCTCGAGGCGAACTTGTAGAATGATAAAGTTCAAGCCTTTCGGGCGGTGGGCCCGACGGCCGACTCTACTACGCATTGCCCCTTTCGTAGAACCTGCGGTCCCGCATCCTGTGGCCATCGCACGATACGTAGCTCGTCGTGAAGGTCCCCCAAGGCGTCCTCGGGATCCAGTGGCGGAACCACTCATTGTACTGGATGTCGCGGACGTATACGAACTCGTCGTTGTTGTCCGTGATGTATATCCAGCATTTGATGTAGTAGCTCCAGCATCTGGGGCCCCACTGGCTGTCCTCCAGGTTGTCGCGCCACCATGTAGCGTCGTCCTCCGTCGTGCGCGCCCTCTCGGCGCGGGGAGGTGTCGCAGGTCTGCGGCTGTCGTCGCTGTCCTGCCGCTGCGCTGCAGTGCCGCGCGGCCCCGCGGGCATGTAGTCCTGCGCGCCAGAGGCGCTGGGCCCTGCAGCGTCGCCAGGAGCAGGGCGCGGCGGCGGCGGGCGCCGCGGCATGCATGGCTCCGTGGCATCATCAGAGTGTTGGGAGTGCGTATCAGGTTCGATCGGATCGGTTCTCATCCCTGAATCAACCCCCCTCTGGTCAGTGGAACCCAAGGCGGGTTCAACAGAAGCAAGCACGGCAAGCTTGCGCTGCGTGACTCTCACACGGGTGCCATCCGCTCTGGGAAGGGCAATCGTGACAAGTCCGCGTGCCTGGCGCGTGCTTCGGTCGAGTCTGCCTGCGTTCAGCCGCCACGTCTTCCGACCAGCTTGGCCAGTCCTGATGCTGGTCTCGAGGATTTCACAGGCGTCGCGCATATCCTCAATGGTATAAGCGTTATTGCCTTTATTGACACGAGCGCCTGTCATTTTGGTGGTGGAACTTCAAATCATTGAGAAAGCGCTGAACGAGGTTGGCAACGGGATGGTATAGAGGTCTGTCGTCCTCACGCTCGCCCATCAATCTGCACATGTGTGCAGGAGGGGAGCCAGCGGCGACCCACTTCTCATGTCTCTTCCTAGCAGCATTTGCCATTCTCCTCAGCACGTCATTCTCATGTCCTGGAATGGAGCGCTTGCCCATCATTATGACCCGCGCTCCGTCTCTCATGTACCTCGTGATGTCGTCCTGGGAGAGCGTCGTCTTGATCCAGTGGGTCAGCTTCTGGAGGTATGCCAGGTCGCTCTCGACAGCGGTACTTTTGCCCGTAGCACCTACGGCAACAGTGTACGGCCAGCAGATGTCACGAACGGTACCTTCATCTGTAACGATCCTTAAAAACAAGAGACGACCGCAATTCCGACATCGCGCGATCTCATGCTGGATATCTCCTGGGGCTCCGTCGATCGTGAGGTGCTCGCGGGATCCCCAGCGAGTGTCCCGACCACGAGCAAGACTGTGGCCAATCTGACCCATGGCATCGCGGTTGATCTCGGAGGTCGGACGGGAAGATCGATCGGCTCATTCCCTCGATCTCGATCCTAGACAATCTTCCCCCTGGCAGTCCTACGCGCTCGGTCGTGTCGTTCTCCGCGTTGTCAGTATCACCATGGCATACGTTTTCTGTACAGATACGGTTAGCCTCTTCATGCAAGGCGGACTCGTTGTCACCCTACTCGCGGTCGATTCCCTTCTGCTGGGCTATGAGCCGTACCATGGTTTCCTGACCTGGAACTGCGGATGCAACGCTGCCAGGGTCCTGGGGAATGTCCTGCTCCGCGCCTGGGTCCTCATGTGGCGCGACAGGTGTTTCCACCAGCTCCCTCCATACGGGGAAGCCTGGGTTGCCGAATGTCTGGGTACAATGTGCAAATAGATCACGCAACGTCTTGAGTGCAGGATGGTTCTGATGAATAACATATTTTGTGAAATCACGAAGCTCCGCAATACTGTCCAGCAGTATGATTTGATGCACTTTAGAGATCCATTGGAAGACGCCTGTAGTCGACTCCTCAATGACCTCTGGGTCCAGGTAGTGTACCAACTTTTTGAAGAAACTATCTGCACTGCACATCGGTAAGTCACGTGC